AATATACTAAACACATGTGCTAGTAGCTTTAGTATCGTCTACACAAGATATCTTTATGTTCATGATTCCTACCTGACGCTCAGGGCATAACAGTCTTATTACACAAATTGTGAAGTGGTTGATCTCCACTCTCATATCCACTCTTCTTTCCTCCTGAATCGTAGCCATTCCTAAAATGTCTTGGTCTGAAACCCAGGTGTGGGGGGACATTGTGTGTACCAGGAGTGGATGTGTATCAAAAGACAGGTCCACCTTCAAAGTTCTTCTCATTAAATGAAGGTAAATAGAAAGGCATGAGTTTTACAGTTTCATCATAGCTTCCTTTGGCTTCAGAAGTGTAATATTTCAGGCCACAGATACATCATAACAAGGGTCGTAGTTGGTGAATCTCTCAAATCCAGATCCACATGCAGTTCATTTGGTGAAGGATGATGAAGAGCACTCTGACTTTGGCAGGGACTTTCCCTGTGTGTGAGCTTCTGACTGTGAAGAGCAGTGTTATTTTGTGTACCCGCAGCTGCTTGGACTCACAATGATGAGAGGTTGATTCACTGTCATGTAAATGTCCTGCTAGTGGCTCCCCAGAGTGACATCCTGCACTAGGGTGGACAGTGTCCCCACATGCTGGTCCTGATGTGGGAGCCTTCCTCACTGTGCTCTGCCTTCACTGTCTGTGGCAGTTTTTCCTTGCTTCCCATGCTAAGGATGTCTTCTCCATTCATTGTGTATTCATTGCCTTGCTCACCCTTTATTGTGTTTCCTTTCATCAAATCTGAACCTGCTGGGACCACAAGTTCTAGCCCAGTTACTAAAAAAATGTTATTCTGAACTGGAAGAGACGATAGCATAAGAACATGAAGGTTTATGAAGCAGAAGAGACTGAAGTAGATGTGAGTTCTTGGTTTAGGGAACATCTTATCTTTAAGGGGAGTTTTTTGGGCTATTGATAGGAGACAGGAATGTTACCTGAGAGATTTGGAGACTGCTAGTTCAGAAATTCATGAAGATCACAAAGCTACGTTTATAGCCATATTTTTAAATCTTTCCAACCCTGCTGATTTTCATGTGTCTTGAGCACAGCCCACTGCCCTGAGAACTTCTTCAGAGGCTGCTCACACCCTATGCAGGAGAAGGTTCCACTCAACAAACAGCTTGCACCTGAAGGCCACTGCTCAGCTGCTGGGGCTCCTGCTGCTCTGGCTCCCAGGTAAGGAAGAACAATGCCAGGGAATACTCATCTCATATTAACAGAGCAGCTTGAGGCTTCGTGGAAGTACTTGTATAATATCATTAATTACATGACTAATTGTTTTAATTTTTCCAATGTCAGGTGTCCATTGTGATGTCCAGTTGACTCAGTTACCATCCCTGCCTGTATCTCTGAGAGAGAGAGTCACCATCACCTGCAAAGCCAGTCAGGCCATTAGCAATTATTTACATTAGTAGCAGCAGAGAGCAGGGAAAGCTCCAAAGCTCCTGATCTATTTTGCACCTACTTGGCAATCTGGGGTCCCATGGAGGTTCAATGGAAGTGGATCTGGCACAGAGTTCACTCTCAGCATCAGCAGCCTGCAGCCTGAAGATTTTGCCACTTACTACTGTCAGCAGGGTAATTACTTACCTACCCCTGTGACACCAGTCATAACAAAAACCTCCCTGGAAAGCAGAAGTGAGAGGCTGGGCTGCCCCAGATGCTTATCCTGGTGCTTCAACTGCTGACAGAACATCTCAGATGCAGCCCCCATTTTTAAGTTCGCTGGAAAGCATTGAGAGATAGGTTCTAGAGTCAATTGCATACCTTAACTGTCTGTCCTCCTGCTCATCCCAAGCAGCACACACCTGACACTGCCTCTTCTGTGACTTACAAAGAACACTGCTCTGTACTCATGTATGGTCTAGTCTGTCCTAAAATTCTGCAGTCAATCAATAACGAAGCCATTCTATATATGTCAGGGAAGGTTTTTAAAGGCAAGGAAAAATTCCTTGTGAAAAGCATTTTGAAAACTACTTTTTTAAAGGAAAAGTAGTCGTTAAAATTTTTTAATTCAACTTTGGATTTCCATGAAATAATTTTATTTGAAGTACCATATGATTTTTGGGGATGCTAAATAATGTAATAAACAAGTGAGTTGAATACCTTCAAAATTTATCAACTTCCTGTCAGGGAATTTTATTTCCAGCAAATGTATTATTTTAAATAATTTCAACTCTCATGTCAAAACATACAATATTTTAATCTAGTTCTCAGAAAATTTGATTTGATACTGAGTATCATATAATTGTTCTAAGCTTTCGAAAGTAGAGTGGAAAAATAAGTTTTTAAAAAACTTCAGGAAATATCAAGAAAAAATTAACTAATACTTTGGATCAGGTTTTGGAAGGTTTGAACATGTTTTTTTTTCTGGTGCTTGATCTTAGAAGTGTTATTCAGAGAGCAGATAACAAAAGCACCCTTGGCTTCTGGCCTAGTTCACATAAATCCAAACTGAAGAATGGAAATAAATATATGTGAATAAATAAAATACATTTAAGACACTTGTGGAGTCATGCACTAGGTACAGTTATATAGTGACCCATTTTATACCTATATTTATCAGAGTAATCAGAAGTGACTTCCATATATCCTACAGACATACTGAATGTCATAAGTTCACATATATTAATTAACATGCATTCTTACACATGGAAATGTATATGGAAGGGAGGAGCTGGATTGGGAGGGATGGTTCAGAATGATGAAAGACTGATAGGTAAAGAAGAATTGCATTTATAACCTCATATGTTTAATGGAAATCATTTTATACAACTCCTTATAGATATTAAAAACAGAATTTAAGACGAGAGGTGTATCGAGTTCTCACTTGTCCACACTCTCACCTCTGTCCAAGTTCCTTGCATATTGTGGATTGATAGGATTGAGTCCCTTCCACCTTCCAATCTTACATGTGATTAGAAGATGGCCCATATCATTCAGAATATAAACAGGAAAGCAGAGAGGGAGAGCAGTGCTGGGAAATGTATTTCCTGAAGAGACTGTGGTGATGGGAGCCCATAGTTGATGATCCAGTGAAGTCACCGCCCAACTCTCAGAATATATCCAGGAGGGCATTACCCCATACCAGATATACACATGACTCTTCCTATTAGCAACTTGTAACTATAGCAAGAGTTTCAGGAAGTCTCAGTTCATGGAAAATGAGATATTTTCATGAAATATGTAAGTGACCATTCTCAAATAGAAATATTTCTTGACAAAAAAGAAGCAAACACAACTAAACATGTATGTACTAGTATTTTCTTTCCTACTCAGAAGGTGTCCAGAATTCAGGATCATCAATAGCATCTCTGAGAGCATGTTACCAATACAATATTACAAATCCACTTCACACCTACTGAATGTGAATCTGCATTTCAGCAAGTTAACAAGTAATCTTGGTAAGGATTAAGAAGTTGTATTTAGAAGAAGAAGAGTATCATAGGCAGAGAGCTGCTTTTTACTCCTCAATTAGCCTATTATGAGCACTTCTATTTAAACCAAATTTATCTCTCTCTCTTTCTCTCTCTCTCTCTCTCTCTCTCACACACACACACACACACACACACACACATGTGTGCATACACACAAACATGACACACTATTGTCAGTCCTTTTCATTAACAAAGTAGCTGACCTAAACTCTGAATAAAGAAGAGTTTGTTTAAGTCATAGTTTTAGATGCAGAACATCCCTGATGCTGTATCTTCATCTGTCTTTACTCTGAAGACTCTCTTGCATGTGGTACAATATGTTGTGTTAATAAAGAGAGAACCAGTTGTAATTTGAGGTGGCCAAGCCTATGGTTTTCTTCATTTGATAGCAGGTGACTATTATGAGAACTGCCTCACTGCATGAGAGTATCTTTAACCCTCTGGTGAGCAGTGGGTATAATCTCCAATCCCATAATATAATCACTTTCCACAAGTCACCTCTTCCATTGGCCTGGTTCATCCATTGGGGCAGCAGTACAAACACCCTGCATGTGCTCTTCCTTCCCTCAGGTGAAGCAGAGACTAAAATCTCTGAGACAAATAAACAGAGACTGGTTAAATTAGATTGTGACTGGAGATATTTGGAGATTTTATGTTAATTTAAGATAATCAAAATTATATATATATATATATATATATATATAATTTCAAGTAGTTACACAAAATGGTCTCACTTCAGTATGTCAATTAATAAGTACACCATATTTTGATCCTTTTACCCTTCCTGTACTCTCCTTTGATTAATTTGCTGTACAAATACATTATGGAGGAATGACAAGGTATTTAGTGAATTTAAAAAACTGTTACATTGAATTCATTCTTTCAAGGGTAATAATTTTTCCCATTACGTTAAAAGACCATTAGGGTACTTACAACCTGCAAGAGAAAATTTTGTTATTCTTGTCAATTCTATACCCTACATCTTAATATGAAGATCCTGGCAAATAGAGATGCAAGCATCCCTAAGAGATAACCTGGTAACTATGGTATGCCTCTTCATCTATCTCAACTCTGTGCTTTTATTGGTGAACTGTTTTGAGAATCAGTGCTGCTGATGCTTGACACTGTGTCTTTCTCTAGATTAGATGAGGGAGGAATGGAGGACCTAGACACAATGTCTATTCCTTTCCTAGAGTTTCTCCTGGACATAAAGCTGCATATCATTGGGCCTCTGATGCTGTTTTAGGGTGGTGAGGTGATGTGCATCCTGTTTTTCCCTCAATTCCAGATATTATCAGTGGAGTCCTTCTTTCCATGCTAAAGGCATCATGGATTTTATTGGTTGTCACCAAATATAGAACAGATCTGCTGCTACTTTTCTCAGAAGAGCAAGCCTTACCTCGCCTTGACTCTTCTCACACTGTTGCCCCAACCTGACTATTTGCATACTGCTCCCTAAGGAGGACCTTCCTTTCTAAGTCTGAGATAAAGGCTCAGATCAGAACTTGCCTTGACCTGTCAAAACTCCTCATTTCAGTCCTAAAAATGAAGTCCTTGTCTCAGCTCCTGTGGCTGTTAATGCTCTGGATCCCTGGTAACAGCAAAGGGGAATGAGAAATGAGAGTGGGGTGGCAGGGTGAGATCTGAGATTCCAGTTGTGCCCTATCCATGTGTTAGATGTGCAGGTCTTGTTAATCATGATCGGGTAAGTGAGGATTAGGTCTACAGAAGGAGTGAAAACCTGTGTTTGGTGAGGATAATGTATTATGCCTAGAGCCCTATTTATGCTTAAAATTATCTCTATTTTTTCACTTTAATGAGCATGGAAGATAGGGAGATGCCTTTTCCTTTTTAATTAAATCATTTAAGAGCATTTCTACTCAAATACCCCATTTCTCTCTCTCCCCCTCACACATAATCTGTATTAGTTCATTCGTAAAACAAGTTAATTTTCATAAGCTCTGAGTAGTTTTGTTTAACTCACAATTTTAGATGCAAAATGTTTTTATATTATAAGTCAAACCATGTAATATTAATAATAGGTAATACATCAAAATAAAAATAAAAAGCATGTCTCTGTACGTTTGTGTATAACATTGCACGTCTATCTTATTCTAATTTCAGGATCAAGTGGAGATGTTGTGATGACCCAGACTCCACTCCCCTTGCCTGTCAACCTAGGAGAGCTGGCCTCCATCTCTTGCAGGTCTATTCAGAACTTTCTATATAGCAATGGAAACACATATTTGAAATGGTTCCTGCAGAAGCGAGGGCAGTCTCCACAACTCCTGATCTATGAGGTTTCCAACTGAGAATCTGGGATCTCAGAAAGATTCAGTGTCAGTGGGTCAGGCACAGATTGCACATTGAAATGTAGCAGTGTGGAAACTGAGGATGCTGGGGTGTATTACTCCTTTCAAGCTACACATAATCCTCCCACAGTGAAACATCCCTGAACTAGAACCTCGCCTCTGGCTGGGTGAGCAGCCCTCATGTGTTGCTGGTCTGGGAAGCAGCAGAGAAGATTGTCTGAATGACCTGAGGAGGAAGATATTGTGATCAATGTGACTGGGTGGACATGAAGAGCGCATGATAATTGGATGCCTTGGAAACTACAAAGAGCAGGAGAAAATCATGTAAGGATAAAGACCAGGAGACTTTAGGTAAACAATGAGGTATCTAGTGAAAAAAATATGTGTCTCTTAAGTAGTACTATAGACAATCAGTGATATAAGCATCAAGTATCTTCTATGATTTTATTCCCTTCATAAGGAAACTTATAAAACTTCCATCATGCACATGGTTTTGGCCCATACATACAGTCTATGTTATGTTTTCTGTTCAGAAACTGGAAGCCCAGTTTTACTTTGTCTAGCATCTTCTCTGTTTGTCTCCAAACCCTGTATAAATATCAAGCCCTTCACAGAGTTCTCTCACTGGTTCCTCATTGAATCAAGCTTGGGCTGATACAGTACTGGAATCTCCACAGTGGTCTCTGGCCTTGTGTGCTCTGGGGCTCTGGTTCTATTTAAGACAGTGGAGTGTGATGAAGTCCTGTAATAGTGTTCAGAGGTCACAGAACTGAGACTGAGCCCTTGTATCTGTCTTGTATTCTGTCTTACATCTGTGTCTAGATTCTATTGACAGTTTTATGGTCTGAAGCATTGTATATCTTTTAGTGTCTCTAGGACAGAAAATCTCCATCACTTGATGGACCGAAACAATTTTGGAAGAGTCTGAATTTTTCTCACATGCTATGTCAACCTGGATGCAATTCATCCTCCAGCTGGGTTCAGAGCTGTGGGATAGACCATTGATTTTCAAGTACCAGCATGGTTGTTCTAGTAATAAGGCTTGTGATCATGATCCTGAACTGGGCTGTCAGCCCATCAATGTAACTGTAAGAGGATCAGACACATGCATCCATGGGACCAGGCAGAAGCAGGCAAGCACAGGAGAAAGAATATTATAAGGTTTATTATAGAAGCCATATTTCCCCCAAGTGGTAGCACATGGCCTCCATCACCATCCAGATAGCAAGAGGGTGTGAGGGATAGGAAGTCAGGTAAATGGGAGTTCAGGTGGGTCTGGTCAGAGAGAGGGAGGGGACAAATTATGGACGGAACTCCAGGATGGGAGGAGGGCCCAGTTCTGGGTGGAGCTAAGGAACAAAGCTGAGCACAACACTAACAGTAACTACACAGAAATATATTAAACTCAATTTTTAGTCCTTTAGGGACCATAGGTACATTCCCAATTGTGATGAGGGAGGTGCTGAGTGAATTTGGTTTCCTTTTCAATTGAGATACATTTCTTTCCTTTGTAAAAAAAAAAAAAAAAGCTCCGCAGTATCTTCTGTGAGAAAAAGAAATGAGATTGCAATATGGTGTCAGAATGCAAATGTGGATTGAGGGAGATACAGACCCTGTGTCCACAAAGCAGACAAATCCTCATGTGACCAACATGGTAATATAGTCAACACAAGTGTTGCTGCAAGCCACGAGGCCAGACCTCTGGTTCCTGTAGGCAGGGCTGTGAGCCTCCTGTGGCTAGAGTAACAGGAGTAGCTGTCTTCTTTGTAGTTCATAGTCTGAAAATTGAGCCACAGATATGAGGGACCCTCCAGAGGCTCTATCAGAGGTGGCATTACTGAGACTGCTAGGAGTTTGTTGCTTGAGGATTCCCAATAGTTTGTAATTCAGTATTCCAGCATGTAACATTTTCTGATTCTCAATAGTTTGTAATTCAGTATTCCAGAATGTAATATTTTCTGCTTCTTAGACTTAATATTTGAAGCCAAAATAATAACTAGTCCACCAGATAGCATCAATAAAGTTTCTTTGTTGTTGCTAATTATCATATTTTGACACTAGATTTGTTAGAGGAGGCCAATATGAACAACCTTCCAGGCCTTCACACTGAAATCAAATAAGAACAGGGAGACACTAATTCCTCCACCTGCACAGTCACATGGTACAATTGGAGGAAAAAGGACAATTTTCCTTCTGGGAATCAGTGTTTTGTTCTTCAGCAAAATTCATGTTATTCATGTTGTTCAGTGTTGTGTTGAAAACTAGCAGAGACCTGGTTTCTCTGGGTGTAGTTTTGTCCTCTGTGTTTACTTCACACTATTGGATATGTGTTTATTCACCCCTTGATGGGTTAACAATAGGGTGGTGGTATGGGAAGTGTTAAGAGCATGGGGTGGGGCTCAGTTGGAGGAAATACATCACTTGTGGGCATGTCCTTGGGGCTAATCTTGCCCTTACCACTTCCTATGGTTTGTTTTGTTTTGTTTTTGTTTTTTTCCTTTGGATTCTATTGTACCTTGAGTTGAGTAGCCTCTGCTAGATGGTCCCACAACCTGATCTTGGGCCTCACCTCAGGCCAAGGAGGTCAATGATTGTGATTTGAAATCTCTGAATCTATAAGCCCAAATTAGTACTTCCTTCCCTTATTTGTTCTTGTCATGTACTTGGTTTTACACATGTTCTGGGGAAAAGAGTCCACCATTCATGTAAAGACAGAATCATGTAAAAAGATGACATTTTTGGGGAAGTGGATAGCTGACCAGGTAGGGACTCAACACAGACTCTGGAGCTGAAACTGCCACCCCGTTTGGGCCTCAAGCTAGGGATTTTAAAGACAATACTCATGTGGTCAAGCCTGTCAACATGCAGGTGGCCAACAGGATTGTAGCGCACACACAAAGATTGCATATTTATGTCAGTGGCCAATGGGGTTACAGTCTGTCTCATTGTTGGGTCTTCGTCCGTCCCAAGAAAGACGGACGGGGTCCAAGGAAAGGTAAGTGCAGTGCTCCCCCGATCCCCAGCCTTCCTCAGCCTGGGAGACAATCAGACACAGTGGAGAGCCAAATCAAGTAGGAAGAAAACTCGTTTATTAACAGAGAGCAGCCCTTTTTAAAGCCCAAAAGGGCAGGTAGAATGGCGGGGGGGGGGGGGGGGGGGGGGGGGGAGGGGGGGGAGGGGGGGGGAGGAAACTACACTGTCAAGGTCACACCCTATCATGCACCTAAGCTTCCACTGGCTGATTATGCACTGAACCTAAGGGAAATTGGGCTCTGCCCACTCTACTCTTTCTCAGTGCCATCTTTGCTGCCCATGTGCTCTGCATCTCATAGTATCTGTTTGAACTAACCTATCATTCTGGTTTGAATTGGGATGCAAATTGGGTGGTCTCCACACAAAGCAGGTGGATATTCTCATTCATGGGGACATAGAATAGGCTGCTCCTTTCTGGCAGAGCAAAGGTGGCTGGGCTGTGTTACTGTTGATAACCAAACAGGGCTGCAGATCCTGTCTGGGTTATTGATAATCAAACAGGGCTACACATCACACAACCTGATCACAACAATCCTAAGGTGCTTTCCAAACAGTTTCCACATTTCCTGGGGTCTCAACAAACAGCGTATTTACTGACCCTGGGGGCTTTTGAGAAACCAGTATTTTGATTCTCAAGGGTGGGCAGGAACTCCTGGTATATTAAAAGAGGAGTTAGTTTTGGCTCACCCCAACAACACACACAAAATTTATGAAAACACCCATACCTACTGCATAGCAATCTGTAATTTAAGCACGTAATAAGGATCCATACAAGGTTTGAGAAATTAGGCTTTAGGGGAAATCTATTTTTGCTAAGGAGATCTTCACTTGGCAAAATTATTTAGCCACATATCAATATTCATCAATTCTGTAATCTCAGGCCTCAAAATAATAACTATTTTTAGAAATCTGAGCATATGTCAAGATTAAATAGCATTCAAAATATTGCCTAAAATCCACACAAGTGAGAGAAGTAAAGAAGTGGATTCAAGCAGAGGTTATTCTGGCCAATTGTTATTAAAAAGCTATCTCAAAAGAAACCTAGGTATTTGGATAATCTCCTATAATCATGGTTACTAGGGCTGTACAGATAGGTGGAACATGGTCTTGCCTGAATCTCCAAAACAAAACTAAAATGAAAAAGTTTAGGATTGCTGGGTCATAGGGGAGCTCTATGGGGAGTATTTTGAGGAACATCCACACTGCTTTCCAAAGTGGTTGAACAAGTTTACACTCCCACCAACAATGCAGTACAGTTCCCTTCTGTCCCCATCCCCTCCAACATCTGTTGTTATTAGAGTTCTTCATTATAGCCATTCTAACTGGGGTGAGGTGGTATCTCAATGTTGTTTTGATTTGCATTTCTTTTATGGCTATAGAGGTTGAGCATTTCTTCATGTGTCTATTGGCCATCCTTCTTTCCTCTTCAGAGAAGTTTCTCTTTAAGTCTTTAGCCCACTTGTTTATTGGGCAGTTGTATCTTTGAAGATTTGTTGATGGGGGATATAATTTGTTGAGTTCAAAGTATATTTTAGATTTGAGATCCCTGTCCGTTGTATGGCTAGTGAATATCTTCTCTCAATCTGTGGGCTTTCTATTGATCTTGCTAGCTATGTCCTTTGCCATGCAGAAGCTTTGCAACTTCATGCAATCCCATTTGTCCAACCTTTCTTTGATTTGTTGTGTTTCTGGGTCTCTATTAAGAAAATTTCAGCCTGTGCCAAGGAGACCTAGGGTTTCTCCTATTCCATCCTGTAATGTTTTGAGAGTGTCTGCTTTGACTCTGAGGTCTGATCCATTTGGAGTTGATTCTGGTGCAGGGTGATATATAAGGATCTAGCTTTAGTTTTCTACAAGTAGTTAACCAATTTTGCCAGCACCATTTATTGAAGAGGCTGTCTTTCTTCCATTCTATTTTTTTAGCTCCCTTATCGAAAATTAGATGGCTATAGGTCTGTAGGTTCATTTCTGGGTTTTCAATTCTATTCCATTGGTCCTGAGGTC